CTCTTGTTTCCATTTGGATAGAAAACCAGTTTCCTGTAGCAAAACCACAATTGATTTTGTACTAATGCAGCTTGAAAAAAAGCAAGGACTGGCAACTAATCCAATTGAAGATTATGAGAAAAGACAGAGATGTTGGAACTTTGTGTAGGAAATGAATTCTAACCATTTGTACCCTCCAGCTTCAAAGTCCCCTGATTCATATTTCTCCAAAGAATTTTTGGCCAGCAATGAAAGGGACTGTATTTTTACTGTGTAATGAGTCGGTGGTGCATCCGAAAAGCTTCTCAAAATCCCTGCAATTAAATGTTAATTGGCAACACAACAACAAGAAGAAGGAAATAAGCTCATACTTAGCTAGTACTTTCAACACACAGAGCATCTTTACCATCTTGGGCATCGAAGTTAAGACTAGTCATCATGAAACAAGCTTGACCACCGAATAATTTGATGATAATTTGATACTAGTTACAGAAATGAGAAAGGGTTTATCTGTTTTAGAACCAAAGTGGGTTTTCTGTTTTTAAAGGAAAAATTTAAAGGTGTTATTCTAAACTTGAAACTTTTTAAGGATAGAACTGTTATGCTTTGCTTCCATAGGATTGTCTTTCTTGCAAGGAAAAGGTATCCATGACCTGCTTTTAGGTGCTCTGAAACATTTACTCAAAATGGTACACGTATTATTCACCAAGAAAGCCATAACTCATAAGTAAAACAATTCCATACAATCATTCATTAAGGATTGTGTTTTAACACGGCAAATGGACTGACAATGCATTACACTCCCATAGCTTGTATACCACAAGCTCAATTACTATTCTATGCTTTAACAATTCATGGACGGTAACTTCTGCCTCCAGTATCCTTCACTAAAAGCTCGAAGCCGGCTGACTCGCTGAGAAAGTCTCTACTGTAATGAATGTCTGCCATCCATTGCACGGACTTGAGGCACTGTACCAGCAATAGCCTGCAAACAGTGAACATGCCTCATTAATTAGAGAAAAATTTCCTTCAAACTCACTTCCTCCGAGTAATGTACCTGCGAACAAGAACCGAGAAACAACCAAACTGAACAGGCACAGAAATAAACACAATTTAAGATCAACACACATGCGAGGGTGTTTTGCTTGTGCTCCCTCATTTGCCTTGCCGAGCAAGCCAAGAATTTTCTTTTCTCATCTTTCATTTGCTCCATGACTCCCACTCCCAACCCTGTGCTAGGCAATTCAGCTCCCCAACTCTCTTACTGATTTACCACCAGACTGTAACCTATCCACAACCACCATGAGATACAAAAAAAACAAACAAACAAAATCGGCAAGATTAATCCCCCTTTTGGTTTTTTTTAATGGTCCAAGGAATTAAGTTCATAACAGTGGAAGTGGACTGTGCACATGTACGCAGTTAAGAACTAAAAGGAAGGACCGGAAAAGGCCAAAATTGTTGGGAATGGTCACAATTTCTCTACAAAGACAACATGTCGTCCCAAAATGCCATAAATTGATGGATAAGAAAAAGGTCACCGGGGAATGTTAGAATTTGCAGGGAAAGAAAAAAATGGCGTCGTCGGGAATGATCAACATTTGCTGGAACAGGTCCATATTTTTCGGGAAGGCCAAATTGTCGATACATGTCACATTTTGTCAGCAAAGACACCATTTTAGTCAGGAAAGGCCAGAATTTCAGGGACAAGAAATATGTCGTTAGAATTTGTCGGTTAATGCACCACAAATCATATTAACCAAAACAAATTCTCCAAAATTCCATAAACAGGGAAATGGCAATGGAAAGGATACTCATGTTTCTGTTTTCTTAAGATTGGCTAATCCAGAAAAGCCATCTCCTGGCTCCCAATTAATCACAGAGTATACTCTGCGAATCGTAGATCAATTGAACGCCAAGCATAAGAGTCTGAAATGTAAACAAGTGGCCTAATATATATTTCTTTTTAATTTTCTTCTCAATCCTGATTTGTCTCTTCTTTTTTTCTTTCTCTTTTTGTGTGCTTGCAGCGGGTTATACCTGGTTCAATGCCTTGACTCCGGCTTGGGGTAGGCAGACTTTCATTAAATTGGGCACCTTCAAAATGTCAAACCAGAGTTATTTGGTGAATAATGCTCGGGGTGGAGGCAGAGGTCACTGTCCATGGAATTGCTAAAACATTAGAACCAGGTAAAGCTTAAAATGCTAGATCTGGAGATAGGAAGACGAAGAAGATGTGGGTTGTAAATTATGGTATTGTCATGAGGGACTTTGTTGTAAATTAAGTGGGTTGTACTAAAAATTAGTAAAATACGTAGATGCTCAAGACTTGTGCAAAAGAATGATTGTAATAAAAATTTAGAAGCTTTGGTTTATAGTCATTATTAGGGGTGATTGCAATCTGGTTCGACCGGGTTTTTATTCAAATCAGAACTGAAACTATTTGACCTGACCAGTCCAATTTGATCTGATTTTTATGAAAATATAATATCAAACTCAAACCAATCCGAATTGGTTTAGGTTCGGTTCAGTCCGATTATTTTCGGTTCCAACCGAGCTTCAAATTTGGACGCAATTCTGAATGCACATATCCAAGATTTGAACCCAGATATACAAGATCTTAACAAGAACATAACCCATCTCCAAAAACTGAACCCATATCTGTACAGAAAACGAAGGAAAAAAAAATACAAATTTATAAATAAACCCAATCCTAGACATGTATTTATAAAAAAAACCCAAACACTATTTAAACATACAAACACACCCAAAATCAACCTCAAAGTCAACTTTTTGGGTGTGTTTATAAATGGGTTTTGAGTGTGTGTAATGATGAGTTTTGGGTGTGTTTATAAAGTGTTTTGGGTGTTGGGTTTTTTTATAATTTCAACCTCCATTTTGGGTGTTTTAGTGAAACTCCAAAAAAAAAAAAAGCAGAAAACGAAGGGAAAAAAAAAAGAGAAACAGAAAACACAGAGTTGCAAATAAAGAGAGAGGGAGAGAAGCATAAAACAAAGAGAGAAAAAAAAATGTAAGAGTAATAGAAAAACAGAGAAAGAGAGTAAGAAAGAATCAGTGAGAAAGGAGGGAGGAAAGAAAGAATAAGGAAGAAAGAAGAAAAAAGAAAAGAAAGAAGAAAGGGAGAGAGAGAAATCAGAGAAAAGAGGCGAGAGGGAGAGAGAGAGAGAGAGTGAATGAGTGAAGTGAGGGTGAAGTGGCGTGTCAGACCAAAAGAAAAGAAAGTGTTGTTGGGTGGGATTAGGTAGGGTTAGGAAACAGCATACATTTCCCGAGAAATATGGGTAGCATTTGCACCGGGACATTACCAAGTAGAGAGAGAGATGTGCTCCTTCACATTCCTGCCCTTGTTTCCATTTGGATACAAAACCAGTTTCGTGTAGCAAAGCAACAATTAAAATTAAGGATTATGAGAAAAGACCGAGATGCAAGAAGTTTGTCTAGGAAGGAAATAAGAGAACAAATTCTAACAAGATAAGTATCAAGGAGAGCGTACTTTTATTAAGGGGAAAGTAATTCCAGAGCTAACTTGGATGCCATGAAAACATTCTCCAAGTTGAGATGCTGATCACATAGGTCAAGACCCTTATAAATATGGAGTTTAAACGCAAAATAAAAACACAGAACCTCTACACATTTCAAACCTATATGTTCAAAGATTTCAAGCACAATTAAAACAAAAGGTAAGATTAACTCGAAAATATCGCGCAAACATCCTTTTTGGCACTGTCGTTTCTACAATCTACACACATATGAAGCTATATTACATATTGAATAGTTATTAGTACGTACATAAACATATATCCTCCCCACGCCCACCCCACTCACTCCATCTCTTGTTTTGAGTTGTGGTTTTCCCTCCCTTGTTTCAATTAGTCAATAGTCTTCTTCAAGCAAAGGGTCGCTGTTTATCCTCAGAAAAATTTGCTGGTCAATTTTATTGCCATGAGCCTTATATTTGACCGAGATGGTAAGCCACCTTCTCTGTCTCTCTATATTTTGTGTTTTTACTCTAAACGCTACGTAATATAAATTTTACGATTTTTTTTTTCCAGGTCTTTCGAGATCACTTTCAAATTCACCACCAACTCATTACACTCTAACAATAGAGTCATTTTCGATGCTAACTGAAAATTCAGTGGATACATATGAGTCTGGGGAGTTTGATGCTGGAGGATACAAATGGTAAATCGTGTTTTCGTAATTCTTTTCTTCCTTTTCACTTTTTGTGTGGATATATGATATAATACACCTTGGATATACATAAAGCTTCCGTTAAGCTTATTTCGAGGAATTCCTCTCGTGGGTTCACTCGCATTGTATTTCAATCAAGGTCTAAAATATTGGGAGTTTCGGAAATATCGGTGGTCCAAAAACACGGATATATCGATGGAAATATCGATATCGATAAAAATTGAATAAAAATCATGGAAATTGTGAGAAAAACTTGGAAATTTTTATTGAAACTTTAGAGGATGTTTACTTAGTCAATTGTCTATTATTTTATCACAAAAAATTTGAAGCAAATGCATGGCATGGTGGGTTTGAGTGATTTAAGTTGATTATGCAGCGACCTGACAAATACTGTGACTTTAGAAAATATGTAGTAATTAGTGAAAGAAAATTAAACACACCATAATTTTTTTAGTTATAATAATTTACTTCAATATATTACACTTGATACATATGATAAAATATATGAGCTTAACCAAAAAAACAAAGATAAAATGTATGAGTAACTTAGCACCACATAGAAAGAATTCCTATTAAAATTCAAACTTAGTATCACATATAATGAACAATATTAAAACTCGAAGTGAATAATAATAAAACTCCATAATATATAACAACAACAAAATACTACTCCATTATAAAATAATAAATAACATTAAATATATGCTTAAATTTATTCTTAGGGAATTTTTTAATATGAAAATTTATCTTAGATAATATTAGCTTGCAGACATTTTTAAAGACCTTATAAATATTACAAGATGAAGATATAGACACAAACTCAGCCGCAGCGAGTTGGATAAGGCGTTGTGGTTGATTGAGAAAGGGAGGGGTTTGAATCCCTCTGTGCGCAAGAGTGAGACTTTTCAACATTTTTCATGTATCACGATATTATCCAAAGAGTGCTAGTGTTCGGACTTTGCTTCCCCCCTTTTCTTTATATAATCTCATTTGAGGAGAACGTGTATGTCACGACCCGATCCGAGAATAAAGAATATTCCCGGATGCGTGAACTGAATGAAATAAAATAAAAAGACTAAAAAATTATTAGTTAAAATACATTTCCTTTATATAATAATAATAATAATAATAATAATCTTACAAGTGTACAAGATATAAATAAAAGTTTATACACATGGAAATGATGATTTGATTAAAATCAGTTCTAAGTCTTTACACATGGATAACAAGGATGGTGTCATCTTTCAACTAAAGGGATAATCTCACATATTAGGCTTAAGATCTAATAACATATAAGTCTTCACAATAAATATTTAAATAAGAAAAATTCATATTAATAAATAATAAATATGTAGTGTGAATAATTATTTAATTTTTTTTTTTCAGGTTCTCACAGTGTAGTAAATTGTTTTTGAAAGGAAACGTGTTTTAATTGAAAATACAATAAAACATGTAGCTCAAATTTAATGACATGAGTCATGACGTGTCCAACTTAGCTGTCACATTGGTACAGAATTGTGGTATAAAAACAAAATTACGGTAAGAGTAGCATTATTGTCTTTTTTTTTAAATGTTTGTTCACTGCAGGAAACTGGTGGTGTACCCAAATGGAAACACGAAGAAGAATGTAGAAGACCACATCTCTGTCTACTTAAAAATGGCAGAAGCAAATTCACTTCAGACTGGTTGGGAAGTATCTGTTGATTTTAGATTGTTTTTGCTTGATCAGAATAAGGGAATCTACTTAGTTCTTCAGGGTATATATTCATTATACATCTTCTATCTGTTTGGAGTTAATTCTCATGCATCCTTGCATTGCTCATGATCTCTTGATTTTTCTTGCTTATCAGATGCTAATATGAACAAGATGTGCTTGCACGGGGCGATGCTCCAAGTGGGTTTTGACAGAGTTATCCCTCTGAATGCATTTTCTGTTGCTTCCAATGGCTATCTCATTGATGATACCTGTGTTTTTGGAGCCGAGGTCTTCGTTTGCAAAGAAAGAAGAGCGGGCAAGGCAGAGTGTCTGTCAAGGATCAAAAAGGCTTTTATGAACAAGCATTGTTGGAAGATTGAGAGTTTTTCAACGTTAAAATCCCAATGCTTGCAATCAGAACTATTCACTGCAGGAGGGCAGAAATGGTAGGTATCTCTGATGATATTTTTAATTAAACCTTCTTAATTATTCATCTAATTAAACTTGTTGCAGGAAGATAGAGCTCTATCCCAAGGGAGATGGCGATGGAGAGAATACTCATGTTTCTGTTTACTTAAGTTTAGCTAATCCAGAAAAGCTATCTCCTGGCTCCCAATTACTTACAGAGTGTACTGTGCGCATCGTAGATCAACTGGACGGCAAGGATAAGAGTCGGGAATGTAAAACATGTGGCCTAATATATATTTCTTCTTTTACTTTTGTTTTTTTTCCTCTGTCTTTTTAATTTTCTTCTCAATCCTGACTAGTCTCTTTTTTTTTTGTTTTTTTTGTGTGCTTGCAGTGAATCATGCATGGTTCAGTGCCTCGAGTTCGTCTTGGGGTTGGCCTTGTTTCATTAAATTGGACAGTATCAAAATGTTAGACAACGGTTATTTGGTGAAGAATACTTGCTTGGTCGAGGCCGAGGTCACTGTCCATGGAATTGCCAAAGCATTAGAGCCAACTGACGATTAAAATACACCTGGTATGCAAGATCTGGAGATTGGAAGATGAAGGGCAATTGGAGTAAGAATGCAAACCCGAAGATTGGAAGAGGGTATTGTAATGAGGGACTTTGTTGTGAATTATGTAGGTTGTACAGAAAATTAGTAAAATACGTAGATACTCAGGACTTGTACAAAAGAATGATTGTAATAAAAATTATTTATTTATTTATTTGAAAAAAGAAGTTTGCATTTTGTTATTGAATAAAAAAAAGGGTTAATTAATGATTTGCCCCTGTTTTTGTGGGTAACTTTCAATTTACCCATTTACTTTTTTTTTTTTTAAAGAAAATTAAGGACCCCGATTAACTTTTATTGTCAATATCCCTCACCGTCAATTTTTTTGTTTGTCCTTGCCATTATTTGCCTAAACAATAGCTTCTGTGTTTTCCAGCACATTCGGACCTAGGATCGGTCTAGTATTTAGAATAGACAAATGAGGAGGACTTAGATCGAGAGCTCCTATGCC